GGTGCATATATATATATATATATATATATATATATATATACACATACATACACACACACACTATAGCTGCTTAGAGTCCCCTTACTTTGGCGAGATTTCCTCTCACTTTCTGTTGAGACTTCAGAACAAGAAGGGAAGGGAAATCTCCCCAAAGGGACATAACAAAAAATAAAAATCCTAAGAGGAGTTGTAGCCATTCCCCGCTATAGCCAAAACAAAAAAAAAGTGAATCTCACCTCCGCTCTGTACATGCGGACCAAGCCCTGGTTGACTTTAGCCCAAGTTGGGACTGCGCTGATATTCCACAGCTGATTGGAGTGTTCTGCGAAGGGGCCCGTCTTCATCTGAAACATAAATAAAAATCATATTTCTTGAGACGCGAGTAAAACAAGTCAGGGAGCACAGACCATCATGTAAGCTCGAGAAGGGCTGGCAAGGCCAGAATGAAAGCAAAGACAGAGCGTTCTGCAATGTTAAAAGATCAATTAGGAGAGGCAACAGTTACAGTCATGAATATTGTCCAAAAAGATCAAGCTGCTGACCCAACATGCCTGCTACGTCTACATTCTTTCCTATAATCATCTATATTTATGAACCTGGAACATCGCCACATTATGTTTCACCATAATTACCTTCTAGGACATGCATTGCCAGCCATGCTCTTCACAGAGGTATCAACAGTGATAAAAGTGCCAGCATAAAACAGCTGGATTGGACAATGATCTCATGTGCATGGGAGGCTTTGGTGCAACAGGCATGGAGCAAAAGCAGTAATTATTTATCCATCTTTGATAAGCCTATCTGCCCTGTTTAGTTTATGGTGAGCCCTGCAGTTTACTGTAAACAGACTGCTTGCCCAGAGTGCATTGCACATGCAAGAACAACAATCTTTTCAAGTCTATAGCCAGTTTAAGGTTGGCACGGATATGTAGACCTGTCCGTATAGCAACAGCATGTGATAATTGGACTAGAGCTGCAGCTAACGATTATTTTCAAAATCGATTAGTTAGCCGATTATTAAGTTCGATAGACCTGCTACAATATTTTAAACCTAGGTCAGGACGTTAACCTCTGGTACATTCAAAAGTAACAGTAAAGTTTGCTGTGAGGAAACCATCCCCGGCTGCTCTGAATAAAACAAGGATCCAGGACTGGCAGGAAATCCTACAGCTTTGTGTGTGCAGGATGGCCTTACTGTATGTCTGAGCCTTCCATTGTCACATTCTCGCTCAATCTGACCGCACACACAGGTCTCGTGACACAGGAAGAGAGGGGAAGTAAAACCAAACCTGACTAAGACCCCATTCACACTGAGCAACATGTAGAATCGCGTGTTTTTCCGTGCGATTTCGTGCTGAGGGGCATTGAGCAACATTGCACGATATTGAGCGACAGTGCACATTTTGTCGCGCTGTGTAGGAGGGACTTCGTCTCTGCTACATTGGGCTGTAACCAATCAAGAGCCGTCTTGATGTGACATCATTCTTTCCTTCCATATTGCTGTTCAAAAGTGACCCTCTGTAGCGCGATATCGCGCGACAAGGTCGTGCAATATCGCCGGTAATGCGCGACACCATTGAGTCTATTGGGGCCAAATCGCGCGACATCCGGCGAAAAATAGGTCATCTTCGAGCTACAAACTTGAGCGACGAGCTACAGGCGACATTGAGCTGTGAGATGTGAACAGCTCCATTGAAATGCATTGGACAAGCTACATTGAGCGACAATGCGTGGAAATATGAGCGATTTTGGAGCGGAAATCGCGCGACAAACCGCTCAGTGTGAACGGGGTCTTAAGCAGAAAGTCAAGACTGGTAATAAGCACTCTAGTGTCTGCATATTACATACTGGCGGAGGAGAAAACATGGCCATTGCATTCACAGCAATCAATCAGAATCTGGTGACGGTGAGATGAGGCATCTGCCATCCTTAGATCAGGACCAACTGAAGTCCTCTTCCAAAAATTCAGCTGACAGATGGAGGCAGTGAAAGGGATTACAAGCTGTGATCCTTTTTTTCTGTTTTCCATAGAAAGGGAAGGGTTGCCAATCAGCTGCAAACAGATTTTCCAAAATCCTTTTTGTGCCTTAAGATGTGTCTCCGATAATTGCAAGCACACTTAAAAAACACACAGACAAATGGTTTTACCCGACAGGTAATGTGAAATTCGGTGCAGCCAGTCTTTTGATCCAGGCATCACTGCCCCAGACAGCACAGCTTGCTCAAACACAAGTTGCCACCCCTCCTTCCCAGCCAGCTGACTGTACATTAAAGAGCATCGGCACACTGATGATGTCCCCCTTCTGCTCACTCTGCTCTCTCCACCTGTCCCTGTGGGGGGCATTGGTAACAGGAGACTGATGTATAAGTGGAACCAAACAGAATAGGTGTTCCTATGGATCTTGATATAATTTGTAAGTATGCACAGCAACTCTCATACATGCAAACACAGTTACTTTGTCCTAGCACGTACTCACGACATGCCGACACTAAGCTGCATATTTTGTTGGTTTACAATTAGGAAAAAGTGCCAGCAGGTAGGTAAAGAGTTAATTGTTGCAGAAGAGACAGATACTCTTCTACCATTAAGGGCTTGTTCACACCGAAAGCATGTGCGTTGCAGAGCTGGAACGCACCGCAATCGCTGTGAAACTTCTCCTCCCCCCGTGTGATCGAACGCCTGGCAAACCTTTGCCAGAGTTCCGTTTAAGTGCAAACGCAAAAAATAGGGCAAGTCCTATTTTGCGTTTGCAGTGGAACGCAACGCTGGCAAAGGTTTGCCAGGCGTCCGATCGCACCGCCACGCCCCCTCCCGCCCCAAAACGCGGGGAGACGTTTCACAGCGATTGCGGTGCGTTCCAGCAGCTACCGCTCTGCAACGTACACCCTTTTGGTGTGAACAAGGCCTAAAGCCTTCCTGCTAGCAGTTGAGAAAAATAACAAATTCTTTTCACTTTAAGTCAAACTCTGGTACTACAATATAGCCCAGGAGTAGGCAACCTCAGAGCCCTAGCTGTGGTGAAATGACAAATCCCTTCATGCATCTACCTCAGGGAGGCTGTCAGAGTCTTACAATGCCTCATAGGACTTTTACTTCCACAACAGCCAGAGTGCCAGCTGGTCTCCTACCCCTTGTATAGCCAGTACAGCCAGACTGGTGACCTGATTTATTTATTTTTCCTCCAGTTAGAGCACACCGGTCACCTCCTCAGCCTGCAGCATGTGACTAGACATCAAAGGAGCAGAAAGAGACTGATAAGGTAATCCCACAGTTCTCTCCTTCTGTTAGTACTGCCCTACCCTCTCCCAGTCTGGTCCTGTACATGGGATTACAAGAGGATGAAATCAAGTCATATTCGGTTTAGAAAAATACAGTTAATATTTTGTAATAAATACATCACTGCATTCATTTGTGTTGTTATATATGTTCAGCTTTATTTTTTGTAAATGAATACACAGTTGGGTTAGTTGGTATGCTTACTCTGCATTGACTTCAGCTTTATATGGCTACAAATGTACCCTCATATATGATATTATTTTTAGAGCTGCAACAACTAAATCGACAAAATCGATAATAATCAATTATGGGAATAGTTGGCAATAGTTGGGGGGGGAGAGAGAGAAGAGAGGGGAGAGAGAGAAGAGAGGGGAGAGAGAGAAGAGAGGGGAGAGAGAGAGAAGAGAGGGGAGGGGAGAGAGAGAGAGAAGAGAGGGGGAGAGAGAGGAGTTAGAGGGGAGAAAGAAGAGAAAGAGGGGAGAGAGAGATCATTTTTTTTATACAACCAATCGATTAGTTTAAAAAATATTTGGGTAATTAATCGCTTATTAAAATATTCGTTAGCTGCAGCCCTAATTGTTTTTAATGTTTTCAGCCTATTGCTGTTTTCTATTTTGCAACAGCCACATGATCCAGACGTGAGCAGAACAACACAATATACTTCCACCATCTGCACTATTTTAAAGCAATTGTTCATGTAGCGTGGTCTGGGTGTTTTAAAATATTTACCATCTGATTTAATATAACGGAGAGTGAGATGCAATTGACTGCCTGGAGCTAGGCCATGGTAGTTTTAGCTTTGTAAAGTCCCAGCTTTCCCCAGACACTTCCTGGTTGAGCTGCCAGTTTCCTTCCTGAATTTCCTAAGATGACTCTTTTGGTCCTCCAGTAACGTGAAGTGACACTCGCGCGTCCCCAGACTTCTCCCCCTGATCCTATAAATTATTTTAGCTACCCAAGCTGGGATATAAAGTAAAAAATAACAATCCAGTTGTTTAAATCAGCATAATACATTTTTATCTACATTAAAACACAAGGAGGGGAATTTACAAAGACTGGAGCAGAAAAAATCTGGGGCAGCTGTGCATGGCAACCAATAAACATCTAGTGTTCTTCTGCAAAGCTTAAGTGAGCAAGCTGAAGAGAGAAGCTGACTGGTTACTATGTACAGCTGCTCCACATTGTGTCTGCTGTAGAAAGTGTTACAGTTCATTTTCTTTAAAAACAAAAACAAATCAGCCACAGCTTACATAGAAAAGCCTGTTCCCTGCCTTCATGTGGTAGAAAGGGACCATGGACCTCGATGTGGAAAAGTAGTTGCACTGCAGAGGTCCAACATACTCCCTTGCCAAACATATAGCTCTACAATCAGCAAAGTTCATGCCCTTTGTTGATTGGAGAGCTCTAGTTCTGACTCAGCAGGGGCATGTCAGACCTATGAAGAGTGACCACTGCTTCCACACAGAGAGCAAGGGCCATTCTCTACTGCATGCTGGCAGGGGATAGGCTTTTCTACTCAGGCTGTGGCTGCTTCCTTAACAAACAAACTGAAAGCTCAATTCAGGTTTAAACTGAACATCAGAAACCAGTGAGTTTCCAAGTCACAGGTATGCACCAGGAGGAAAAGATCTATGTTATCCACTTATTATTATTATTATACAGGATTTATTATTATTATTATACAGGATTTATAAAGCGCCAACAGTTTGCGCAGCGCTTTACAATATAAGGAAGACATTACAATCACAATACAATTCAAGACAAGATGGTAAGGAGGGCCCTGCCCCTGAGGGCTTACAATCTGAAAGGGAGGGGGAAGTGATACATGAGGAGGTAGCTGTGTGGGGATGAATTGTTTGAGAATGTGATGGTTCAGTGGTTAGGTTGATGTAGGATAGGCTTCCCTGAATAGATGAGCCTTTAGGGAACGCCTAAAGGCAGTCAAGGTGGGAGATAGATGGGCAGGTTGGGGTAAAAAGTTCCAGAGGATAGGAGATACTCTAGAGAAGTCCTGGAGGCGAGTATGGGAAGAGTTGACAAGGGAGCTGGAAAGCAGGAGGTCTTGGG